GGTCCTGTTGGGCGGCTCTTGAAACGACGAAAGCGGTTTGTTCTTACTTTTGTGTTTGTCTTTGTACTCTGATATAATAAGCACATGTGCCTAGCTATGTTGAGAATCATTTACTTTTGATCATATACCTCAAATCTTGCTCACTTTTTCTTCATTTTTGATACTTTCCAATCTTGAGTGTATATTAAGTATAATGAAATCTTTATGTTATGTTCTTGCTGTAATTCATTCAGGAAACTGATGACATTCGCGTGTTTTATTTCCCCTATGTTCTCTAAGTTACAGTTCCATATAATACATCAAATTTCGTTCTCTTCGACTATAAGACATTTCCAAAACTTTCATTTTGGAGCACAGACTTTATTTCTAGACCCGGTCTTTTACCTTCTGTGCCAAGAACAATCAGTGCATCTGTCAAAGAGTCGCTGTTAGAGGGCTGGTTACAAGCTGCGAAAACTGCTGGCAGTGTCATGGACTACCGCGGCCTGTTAATGACTTATGTTCAACAACTTGTGAGAAATCGTAAGTTTCATCTCATTTCTGCAATTGGCAACTCTTTGAGCTTAAAATAGAGCGATGAATCTTCTATTACAGGATCCTTATCCAAGCTTTCCGACGTACTAAGTGACCTCAAGGAACAAGGCTATGTTTGCGGAACATTGCGCAGTGCCCTTAGAGAAGATGTTGAAAAGATAATTGCTTCCGATCCAGTGACATCATCGCTAGTGAAATCGAAAGAAACGGGCGGTTTAGTGTTTTAACTGATATCTTAGTCTCCTGATCTCTCTTCCGAGTATTTCAAACCATTTCGGGTGTACATATCCAGTTGTTTTAATGCCAGGTGATTCGCAGCAATCTCACAATTATGTCCTCTAAGAAGTTTGTTTCCAAGTTATGTAAGCTATGTTTTAAGTGCTCTTTTATCAGCTTAAATGTACAAAGCGGTTGTTTCTTTGACAGCAATCACATCTCGACAATTATTAATTTACGAAATGCCTCATCTGTTGTATCACCCTTCAGTCTGATGTGTTTGAACTATGGTAAACGGTTATCAACGGAAAAAGGTGTGTATCGTTTTTACGATGTTCTGCACCAGTTTACCGACATTTTTTTGCGTATTGTTAAAATTAATGCACACCTTCTGATACAATCGCTTGCATTAGATCGACATACATACTTTTAATGATAGATGATCTGACGTGTGACAGTGACG